AAAGAGAAGCCAGTAGACTGTACCGAGCACAAAACTGCGTGGTGGCCAGGCTGGACTTCGTTCTCAATACCCTGAGAAAAAATGAGAGAGGTAGTATTTGAATAAGAGTAGTATATAAGGCGTGCATTCACCGTCTACTACTAAGGCTAAAACGATGCTGCCGACAGTTAGTGCGTCACAAGCAACGAGGACCAGCACGGTCCCAATAGCGCAGTGATAACCCAAAGCGATACCAGTGGCAAGACAAAGTCAAAGGCATTGCTGATAAGAGTGGATGGGGGGGACTTGCCTGGCATAAAGTACTTGTCCTACGTGTGCCAAACAAGTTCTATACCTACATTCATGCGAATCGAACTTATCATTAGGCCTCGGGGCTCACAAAGAAGGGTTCTCCTACAAAAAAACAATAAGGAAGTATCGCGGCCTTGATTTTGACCTTCCAAATTCCGACTGTCAGTGGGTCGTGGTGGTTCCAAGGCGAGTTTCGCTATCTACAATTCGGAACTCAGTTTTGGATCTCGACTTGATGGGCCTAAATCCCTCCTCTCCCCCTCTCACTCCCTCGCTCTCTCTCACGAGTCAATGCTCGTCCGAGTACAGCGAACTGAAATAGTGGAAGCAGCGGCTGGCGTAGCGTACAGTCGCAGCCCAACGCCGGCAAAAAATCCGTATAATACCGCCTTGGGTCCAACGTCTGTTCGTCTAATGAGGTCGCAGGGTTACATAATCCTCTTTAGGCTCTAAGGCCATGGTGCAGGTGGTTTTTAAGGCTCTACCAAAAGACATGGTTGAGGGCAGAGACTAAATCAGCTTTTTCACAGGCTTGCGGATACTAAGACCAGCAACCGGTAGTTGAACTCGACAAAGGAGTTACTCAGATGTGGAGATGAACTGAAAAGAAGGAAAAAAAAGTCGATATCCGGACAGGTCAAGACATTTGGGTGGGGTCTAGGGTCCTCGAAGAAGTCCATCGTTGGAGACAATGAGAGAAGATTAACAGACGATGATGATGTTCTACCGCCAGAAACCAGTAGAGACTGAAGCGGTAACTCCTGATGTGTTTGTCATCGATAGCGAGCTGGACTCCGAGCTAAGATCGAGTGGATGCGAGTGTGCCGAGGCATGCTAGTGGGGTGCGTGTCTAGCCTACGACGAGGTCGCATCGTCGAACACTGCGAACGCGGTGCGTCATAGGTGGAAAGCAGCTCGATATAAGAGTATATAGAGTAATTATCGATGATCCGGTGCTGTAATAGTTCTTAACCTGCCGTACTGTAGGCCAGCCCCATTATCCGTATTCGATATTTTTCAACCGTAGTCCCTTGAGGACGTCAACGTCGACCTCAGCGCAGCGATTCCGGATTGACGAACGTGAGCGGCCGATCGGTAATAATTTTATGAAACAATATGGAAATAGCGAGTCCGTAAAGGGTTCCTGGTACAGTCAGTTGTCGTTCGCCAAAATTCCTCCCCCATGCCAAATGTCCACCATTGCCACGCATACTTTCTTCGTTCGAGGTCCTGAGTGCCGGGTCTTCCCATTTGTTAGTAATCGTGCAAATGGGGCTACTGAAACTATGTTAGTAGCACGCATATAGGGATATTTAACCGTCGTACATGCACCAGTTTCGTAACCGCGCCACGTGCAGATTAGGGCTTTCAAAGTCACGACTTATTGTCCAAACTATAACAAACTGCAGTGATCCCTCGCTACCTCGCGCTCCGAATTTCGCGGCTTCAATCAATCGCGAATTTTATATACAAACAGAGATCGCGTGTTCATCTTGTTTACAACAAGCGCACATAGATAAGTCAATTTGGCAAACACGCGTTTTCGGTAACTCTTCATCAGGCCAAAACGGTTACATAGAAGTTTAAATTATGCAAAGTTACAGGGTTTATAAGTGATTCGGAGACTATTAACACCCATCGTTCCCACGATACTTGCATGACGGGGCGTGCTATGGCGTGGTCGGCTTGTCGTGGTCACTGGGTCAAGGGGGCGAGGGAGAGGGGGACATAGGCTGTGAGTAATGCTTGTACGTCGGGTACGTTGTGCACACCCCACGGGCATCAGGAGGTTGGGGCGACGTTGGGGTCGGCGTTGGCCACGGAAGACAGAGCGCCTGTGTCAGAGTCTTCTGATAGCATAGCACTGGATTGGCTAGCCGTGTTAATAGCCACTGGATCACTTATAAGCCCTGTAACTTCGCATAATTTAAACTTCTATGTAACCGTTTTGGCCAGATAAAGAGGTGCCGAAAACACGTGTTTGCCAAATTGACTTTGCAATTGTAACATGGGAATATTTACTGAACATATAGATAAATATTGCGGATTTTACGCTGTCTCTTATATTCCTGCAGACAATGTGCCTTTCTATTTCTAGTACATGGTTCCTCAGTTTGTCTGTCCAGCTGATTTTACAGAATGCGTTTACATACATAATTTCAATAAGTTTTACCGAATATCTAAGTGAATATAATGGGGTAAGCGGTATAATTGTGTGAGAAATGTTTGTAAAAATGCGGGGGGATTTATAAGCGCTTAGAGTATTCGAAAATGACCATAAGAACCGGTGGTGCTTAATCCGCAGATCCCAGCCTTTTGCGTGGGGCTCTGTGACGTAACAGCCGCGATCGAGGAGGTAGCAGCGTATATTCGAAGCAACAAAAACAGTCAGCACACTCACAGCGGTTGCAAATATTACGCGGAGAAGACAAGAATAGGCTGCCACCTCAGACCGCCTCAATGTGCATCTACTAATTCACTTGCTCCTGTGGAGCAGGTCGTACGAGTCGGCGCCTTTCCAAAAGAATCCGAGAGTACCTTACCGCATGGCTGGCAAAAGGTGGAACTAGGAGAATAGACAACGCCATCATTGCCCATGCAGTGGACTCAGGGCATCGTGTGGACCCCACTGAAGCATGTCGTGTGATTTACAAGGTCCCCTCGAGCTACCCTAAGCTACTGGGCCAGCGCCTGTTAGCGACAGCAGAAGCGGCCGCCATAAGGTTACGATAACCGACCCTATGCGCCCAAAAGAAACTCGTTCAGTCTCCGCGCCCACCGTGGTCAAAGGTTGACTAACCACATACTACTTTCTGCACCCTTCCGCTCTTACCTAGCCTGTATTTTAGGAAACTAACTTTTATCGATTTTTCACTCACTGTACCCCGTCCCATATAACTGTACTGGCCTGACGAGAAGTTATCGAAAGTAACGTTCGCTCGCCACCTTTTCTTCTGAATACATTCGAAGCAACAAAACAGTCAGCACACTCACAGCGGTTTCAAATATCACTGGAACTGGAAGGAGGTTGTGCAGGGAAGCCGGAGTCTGGATGAGAAGACGGTAGGCTCTTGGCTGGCTGCCGCCCTTGCCTTGGACAGTGGGCGTCTTGGGCGAGTTAGTAGCAGGCACGGGGGCCTGAACGAGTGATGACCTTTTGTGGGAACTAGGAGCGGCGGCGGCGGTGGCGACTGAGGAGGGAGGCCGCGGTTGCACAAACTGCGGTTCATCCTCAAAGCGCGGACTGACGGTGACTGTGTAGTTGAAGGTGCGTGAGCGGCCAGCAGAGTCAACGCCGGGGAAGTTGATGTGTTGCACTGGCCACCGCTCTGTGGCGTTAGAGTCGCCAAAGGTAATCAGAGAGATGCTGCTGCTGCTGTTAGCACTACCAGCAGACAGGTAGACGGCAGCCTCGCCGCGGGCAGGCGAACCGGGTGGCAACGGACAGGCCGTTTCTGGCCAGTAGAGCACGTCGGTGGAGCACTTTCCACTGAAGGGAGAGGGTGGAAGGGGAGGGAATGCAGTCATCTCTGAGGGTAGCGCATGGGGCAGCAAAAAGGAGTGTCATCAGCTTACGGCAAGTTCATGAAATGCGGACGGCCACAGCAGCCGCACGGAATAAAGGCGTCGTCATAGCCGTAACCGACTTGCATTCCGACATAAATTCGCGCCAGCCCAAGATGTCTGGCACCATTCCGCGCAAGGCAACGATGGGATGGGCGTGCGTGAGCACTGATCATTTTAGAGAACGTAACACCCTTTGTAAAAAGCTATGAAATGCGCCCAGCGTGCGCGCATAAATTCCAGGGAATTCATCTTACACGCACATTCATCGGCCGTCAAGTGACGCAGTTTCGATGGTCTCAGAGTCAACAGCACCAACTGCTAGCACTGGTTAAGATGTGTGGGCGACGATTAAACTCTCAGTAGTTTGATATGCAAAAACCAAAGACTGCCACAGCCAGTAGCGTCTTCACGTCTAACCTAACAAAACTCTAAGATGGTCGTCACGGT